ACGCTTTCTCAGCCAGTTGGTTTAAAAAAACTTTCCCAAGTACCCGCCTTTGTATTTTTCACCCTCAGACAGGCAACACACTCAAGTGTAGGAAGTCAACTCATAAATCTTTACAGACTACTGAGTAGTGCTAAGTAATAATCCCTGAATATTTGCTGGGTTAACTGACTACTTAATCTCTTACAATTAAAAAGCCATACACCTGTAAAATGGTTCAAGTAACATTTCTACCAAGAAAGAAAGCAGCTAAAGGAACCAAGTGGGTTTAGCTTAGAGAAGAAAAGCAATTCCCCATTTTGGTCATATTCTCCTCAACTATTTACACTACATTATTCTTCTACCACTGCAAAACCCAGATATCCTGACTCTGTTTTATCTCCCAGTTTATCAATTGCTTCCTGGCATCACTTCTCTTTTCACCAAACACCGTCACCAAAAACCTTCAATTTCTTATTTTCTCCAGCAGCACTTTAATTCTGAATCATTCTGCTGTAATACTAGTCTGATTGGTTAAACATGATTTTAACAATAACAACAGCTAACATTAAATGGGCCCTAATGTGTAGGAACAATGTCCTCTGGGTAATCCTGTAATGTTACAAAAAACGGAAGATCTAATTAACTTGTCCAACTTTAACACACAAAAAGAGGTTAAACTTAAATGTGAACTAGAGCCACCTACTTCCAGAGCCTCATGGGCTCATTGTAGGAAGTAGGAAGCCACCTACTTCCAGAACCTCATTGGCTACAATTCTGACACTGTATAAAGTTGCAAATGACAAGAGGCAAGATTTAATATTGCTGTAATACTGTATTAGAGTACAAGCCCTTAACTACTTTGTTAGAAAGTCATCAAAGTCATAGGCACTCCATTAGTCTTGGATCCCTAAGCTCCTCAATCTTCTACCTATAACACAATCTATAGTAATGAATTCATTCAACATTGGCTTTAAACCAGGCTTGGTGGCACAGACCTTAAAAGGCTGAGGCAGGAGGATTGCCAAGAATCTGGAGGTTAGTCTGAACTACACAACAAAAATAAAAAACAAACAAAGTTAAGGTGGACTGTCAACTTCACTGGCTTCAGAGTCACCTCAAGGATTAGTAAAGCATACTTCTGTGAGTGTCTGGGTGGGTTACAGAAGTTTGACCTTGGGGTCTATCTCCAGCTACTGACTCCTTTTCTGTAGCTACTCCCCTAGTCTGCTTCCTGGCTACCATGAACTAAGTAGCTTTACTCTGCACATCTGTCTGCCCTGTTGTTTGCACTTGGGAGCCAGGTGACCGAGAACTGAATTCTCTGAACTCTTCGTCCTTTATGCTGTGTACATCAGGTATCTGTTCCCAGGAAAAGCTAACCAACACACTAGCTGATAACTAATTTGCCATGTTTTTGCTTCTTAAACACAACAAACTTGTTCCACCCCAGGGCTTTTATAATTTCCTAAAACACTCTTCCTCTAGATCTGCTGCCCCCTCATTATATCTCAACTCCCAAAGAGAACTTTTCTGACCATGTTACCAAATATATCATGTATACAAACATTGTTCACATGAAGTTGGTCCTATTTGCTTTATAGTTACTTATCACTAGCAGAAATTACCAGTTGTCTTTTTTTCCCAAAAGAGGAGTTCCAAGACATTAGAGAGCCGGTCTATTGAATTCAATACTATGCTTTCAGCACCTACCACAGTTCCAGTCACACAAGTACTCTGATATTTACAGAATGAAAAAAAAAATGCTATATATTAAGATTATCAAGGTTAACTGTATAAGATCATTATTTAACTGTATAAAAAAATTATACAGTTCTTGCCCTCAACAAATTTCCAGTCTATATATTTATAAATAATGACATCCTTCTCCCTTTCTGTATTAAAGGAAAACAAGCCTCTTAACTTTTTCCAATACTAACTTTTCCACTTGTCACCTTAAACCTGTTCCTGAGGTAGTCCACTGACCTCTATCAATTATCCCCCTCTCAATTCTTTACTTTTTCAACACTTACTTTTACCTTACCTATCCTCCCATACTTAAATATCCTTCCAATAGCCCTCAAACTTCACCCAGGTTACCCTATCCCATTACTATAAGCATGTCCTCAAAACTTATCAGCAACCTAGAAATTGTTCCCATTTTGTACTTAAAACTTCAAAGAACTTTTAATCCACTTTCCTGAGGCCAGAAGTGCTACTATGTCATGTTCCACTGGATTTCCTTATCTTTTTTTTTTACAGTTTCCTTCATTGTCTCCTTTCTGTCACACCATTAAATTTGATGTACACTAGAGCTGTATCCTCAATTTTTGCTCCATTCTGTATGTATCATTTCTCCTCTAACTCAAGTGTACCAAAAATTATAGCCTAAATTCCAGTTTTTTCTTGATCATCTTTAATAAGAAGTTTGACTGAATTCTTAATCAAGTCCTCTGTGTGTTGCAGGTTAGAACTTAGAAAAAAATGTTAACTATAATAAATATTAATGTTGTGAACAAGTTTCCATGAATGCTTTCTGAACTACTTGAATCAGTTCCTTATTACTTTTCAATAATTTAAAACAAAAATGAACCAGACTAAAATGTCACAAATTTTATGTACATGATTAGCCTATATTAACTTTGTCTAATACTATTAATCAGCTCTTGAAATATATTATTGCCCAGTAAAACAGTAGAAAGTGAAGATAAGAATATAGCAGTCACTGATTATTGCATAAATCTTGGAGATAACATACAAGTCTTGAAGACAACATACAAAGTAATATAAAATCTTTGAGAACAGTTGGTATGAATATACTTACAGTACAATAATTTACTGACTCACCATTCAAAATTATACCTAATTATGACAGCAAATTCTCCTGTGGTTTTGTGCCATTTTCAAAAACATTAGCAAGGAACAGACTTGTATTACTCTTGGCCTTAAGCTTAGATAGTAAAAAGCAGTTACACACACCTATATCAATAGGATAAACTGCTTATTCTCCCAATCCTGAAACAGTTACAGATGTGAAAAGACTGTTTTATACAGAAAAAGTGTCAACAAAGGTCCATCTTTATAACTCTCCCAAATGATAAACCACCATGCATGCTGATAAACTACAAATACCTGACTTACAGCCTAGTCCCTTTTGCAAGGGGAGAAAAAGACATCTTGCCTAATAAACTGCCCATTCAGTAAATACAACAAACTATTTTACTTATTTGACAAGAAGCTTTGTTTTCTTCATGTACTGCAAGAAACTGTGGGAAAGATGGAAGACACTCCCAATTACCACTGTCAAAGCTGGTGAAACGAGTCAGTCACCATCCTTCAGGGTATGTGACATGTAAGGGCAAGGAAAAGAAAACAATAGGAGAGCCCTTAGCAAAAAAAAAAAAGGCACCCACATTTTGAGAAAAAGAAAACGAAAGTGACTTAGCATCTACATCAAGCAAACTATAGTTGCACCCAGCACAAATGAAACCAATCTTGGAGTTACTCAAATTTTCTAACTGGTAACACTAAACCAGCTGTCGTATTTTGAAGTTCTTCAGCGTTTCCTTTTTCCCCAGGAACCCCTCTCTGAGTCTAAAGCCTATAAGGAACAGAGGAAATAGAACTAAAGATGATGAGAAATGGCCGATGGGTCATCAGAACACAAGAGGAGCTGGAAACACATTTCTAGAAGGCTCAAAGGCCCAATTTGAAAGTACAGCTCTAAAAGAAAAATCTCTGAGATATCTACAGAAATTTCCATCTGCATCCCTTATTCATAAATCTCTTAAAATGTTACCTCTACCCTATTCAGCCAAAAAGTAAAATATGACTCTGTCTTTAACCTTACACTATTGCTCCCTTAGTGAAAGGCAGATTTTTTTTTATGGAGGGTGGCAAGGGGAAGAAGAAATGTCATGGCCGAGGGAGGGGTGGGGTACAAATAACACTGCCGCAGAGACACTGGAAATGCCACTTCCTTCACTACTCTTGCAAATTTTCTTCGTGTAATGCTGTTACCCTCTCTATCCAGGCCTCCTCCTTTCTCAACAATATATCCACACGTGTCATAACCGACGACCACCCTCCCCTTTTCCAGCCTTACACGCAATGTTCTCATCTTCCCTAACCACACACACACACACACACACACACACACACACACACACAACACGGTGCAGAAATCACAGCCACCGCATCCTCCTTGTATCTCGGCTCAGTGCTCAGAGCTGACTGGAAGACAGCTGGAACACATGTACGTAGACACACACAGGCGAGCTCGACACAAGGATGCACACACATCGGTGCACACGCGGCATGCGGCGCAGGGACGCACCTGGAAGCCGGGTGTCCAGCGCTGCCGCACCCCTGGTCCCTGTCGCTGAGCGCCGCTGTGTAGATCCTCCGGTAGCGGTCGGCCAGGGCCCGGCCAGACAGCAGCAGCTGGTAGTGACCCCGTGAGTCCGCGGCGGTCAGCCCCAGCCCCAGCCCCAGCCCCGCGGCGACCACGGAGCCCTCGGGAGCCGGCATGAACAGCGCCCCCGGCGCCGGGGAGGAAGACACAGAGGCGGCGGGGAAGAAGGCGTCCCCGCCGGGCCCCGCGGAGACCGCGGCGGGGGAGGCAGTCGCTGCGCACATCATCCTCCTCCTCTTTCTTCTTCTCCTCCTCCTCCTCCTCGCCACCGCCTCGTCCCCGCGGGCCGGGCGGGCAGACACGCGCGCGCTCACAGCCCTTTCCGACGACGACGGCTCCGCGGCGGCCTCAGGGACACTACAAAGACAGCGACTACCTCCTTCTCCTCCTCCTCCTCCTCCTCCCTCCTGCGCCGCTCCCGCCGCTACCGGGGCCGCTCATCTAACCCCGCCACCCGGGGAGTGTGAGGAGGAGGCGGTGCCGCCACCAACGCCACCAGCACTGCCTCAGCCCCGGGAGCCCGCAATGGGAAGCTGCCGGCAGCAATGAGCATGCGCCACCCCTCGCGCAGGCTCAGTAACCTGAGCCCGCTCCCTGCCTCCCAGCCTCCCCTCCCCACCCCCACCCCCACCCTCACCCTGTCTGCAGCTTCTCGCTCTGCCTCCGGGCTTTGGGTGTGGGTAGATAGTTGGTACGAAATCTACAGAAAATCCACTTCTCCGGGTTTTACTAGCAGCATGAGGAAGAGTAAGAATGGTGTGCTGGGAAGCTGTCAGCTACAGGCGTTTGTCTTCAGGTAATGGGGTTCCCTCCAGATGGGAGATGCGAAACCTGAAGGAAAGAGATGTGCCCTTGGCCGAGCTATCTTGCCACCTTTCCACATGTACGTGCTGCCACACGATTTATTGTGAATAGAGCTGGTTTGTTCAGAACTCACGAGAGTGGAGACTCCGAATTAACAGCCCTTTTGGCAATTTTTCATTTGGGGGGAATTTTTGTCATTGGGACTTATATCTCTTACAAAAATAGATTTTGCTTTCAAAAGCAGATAGTCCAGACTACTCTCAGACCGCCCTCAAAGAACACTTTTATCTCTTGATTGTGGTCACAATGGTTTGTCTGTTTGCTGTCCAGATTTACATCATTCAAAGTGATTCTTGAATATGACTTGAAATTATAATCATAGTTAAGATCGTGTACATACAAATGTCAGATCTACCATCATCTGTAAAATGCAACATTGACTGAGTTCTCTTTTCCAAGATATTCTAAGTAAATGATCTAAAAACAAATGCCAATATCCCTGGTTCCTAAAGGGTTGGTTTTTTTTTTTTGTTTTTTTTTTTCCTCTCAGTTTGACGAGTTTGCGAGTTTGCCTACTTCACAGACCTGACAAAATTGCTTTAAATCCTGGCATTCTACTACTATGTTTCTTTTACTTACTGTTTCTTTTTGTGTGTTTGTCTCTCAATGGCTTTCTCTTCAAAATGAAAAAGCCTTAAGAGTGCACACAAACATTGAGGATAAACATTGACTCTAATTTTGTAGGGTAAAGGGTGCTGAAAATAAATTTTATAGATAGATGCATATCATTTCAATTTTTAAAAAGTTAGCTAGAAATAGGATAATGAAAGACAGAAAAAGAGCAGCCATGGGAAATTCAGTGTTTGATTTAGAGGTTGGAGTGGGACCAGGAACCAAACACTTGCCTCACACTTGCCAGGGAGGCAGTGTGAAGCTGAGTTACATTGAGGGCCAAAATGCAGTGTTTTAATACTTGTTTAAATGAGTTTTGCAGTTATCTTATTTCCTCGACCCTTTTCTAAATCCCCTCAGAACTTCTCTGCTTATTTGTAGTTTATTTGTTTTATCAGCTCCTAATCTGGAACTTTACCCATGGTAGATATGCTACATGTAAATATATAAATATTTGTTAGGCTATATTTCTACCCTAATGCAAATCTCAGAATTAAACAAGAAGCTTCCATCACCATCACCACTCTGTAGTGAGAAGGAGCCAAGATACTGACATACAGGTAGCCTCAATCCTTCAATAGTGGAGCTGGGGATTTAGCTCAGCGGCATAAGCACCTGCCTTGCAAGCAGGCAGTCGTGAGTTCGATCCCTGGTACCGATAAAAAAAGGAAAAAGATAAAAAAAAAAAAAAAAAATAGTGGAGCAAAAGATTTGACAATCAGTAACTGTGAGAGTACATTACCTGTTGCAAGAGGCAACAGGATAGCTAAAAGGTTCTGAAGTCAAACCACCTTGGATTTGGATCCTGGCCTTGCTACTTAATTCTTGTGTATCTTTGGGAAAATTTCCTTCTTTGAATAATAATTAAAATAATATCCACTACATGAGACTGAAAGACTTAAATCTTCTAAATGTCCACTTTGGCAAGATGCTTTTCACAAAGGGTAATACACATTGAAGAAAATATTTTTTTCTTGAATGTAGGAATGATGTCTGTGTCTTATTGACCTGTTGCATTCCCGGCTGCTTTTAAAGAACTACCTCTAAGCAGAAGACAAATAGATGCTGGATATCTAAATACAGAAAAGCATTTCCAGTGCCCCCTTGTACAGTCATTGTCCTGTTAGAATTTCTGGAGGGCACTGACCGTGTGGCTGCGCTAGGATCAACCACCTCTTAATTTTCTTTCAATCCTGTCAGTCCCAGGCGTGCTCCTCCCTGAGTCTCCTGGATAAACGCAAAACGTGGTAACTGGATAATTTCCTAAGAAACACAACGTCATCGAGCAGCACCACTATGCGTGCGCAGACTCACACAGACTCACTGAGGTGTTCAAGGGTGGCGTTTCTGGTGCGGTTGGCAGCATTTCCTTCCACAGCAGCGCAGCGGTCGCTGTACTCTAAATTGATAGCAAATGCAACGGTCTTTTTCTCCTCTTTCTCCTCCTCCTCTTCCTTCCTCCCCACTGTGTGCTCCTAGGTGTGTGGTATGTAGCTGCCACCTTGGCAGCTGGGCACCTTGGAAGGCTCCCGTGCAGTGGGTGAGGATTCGAGCAAAAGCCAGATAGCAAAGGGCGTTTAAAACGACCCTTAATTTCACTGTCAAGGGGACGTGAAGGGGAGGGTGGTTCCCCAGGGAAGGATCGTTTAAACTGTCGCTGCAGAGCAAAAGTGTGGGTTCCGTGTAAAATGCAAAGCCAGCGTCCTCTCCTGCCACTCCTGCTAGCACTATGAAGTGGCTTACCAGCCAAGTGTAAGAAGTGATGAGGATCTTGTTATTCTAAAGAGATGTGCAGAATGAAAGGATACGGAAGGCTTGGCCTGTATTTTGAGCAGGCTTTCGTACTTTGCACGCTGCCATTTTAGCTTTATCTCTGGCCTGGCTGGGTTTGTGTGCTTAGTGTTAGGAAAACTGGAGGGTGGGGACATGCATGCGAGGCTGCCCTGAGTTCTTGGGCTAGATCGGAGTACCAGACTCTGCTCTCAAAGAATAACCTACAAGGAAGGAAGGCAAACCCTGCCTGTGCCCATTTTACTAAGGAAATACGTACTTTTCTGTCTTTGTGGTTGATAGGCTCGTTTCTCAAAAGACTTGCCTCCTGTGATTGTGTAATAAGACCATGGCTTCATCTTTCATTCAAGATCAGATTTTTGTCGTTCTTTTCCACTTGACATTGCAAATCTGTAACACAGTTTGAACTTTTACCATCTTTGCATTTTTTTTCTACTCTATATCTTTAAAGATTTTTTTTTAAAAGAAAACCATCAGCGTTGGTGTAGTAATAACAAGGCAGGAGCCATAATGTGTACATAAGAGGACATACTAATGTTGTTAATAGTTAATAGTTTATTTAAAAGGGTAATACATGAATACTAGAAGCATACAAACACAGGAAGTGTGTATATTATCAGGCACATGAAGACTGCTGAAAATGATCTGGTTTAAAGTCTTAGTTTGTTCCTGGATTTACACAGTGTTGTACTGGAGTATTTAAAAACATAATTGGGAGCTGAAAGCATTTTAAAACAAGGCTGGTAACTGAAAATCATTTGGAGGGAAATATTCTCAGGCTTGAAGGATGAAAAAATCCTCAATGACCTTGGCTTTTTAAGGGTAACAGGAGTCTGCTTTCTTAACCAATATGATATTGCAATTTAAAATAAAATAAATTTCATATAATACATAAAATACTTCAAATATAAGATAAAAATTCAACAGGGCAATTGAACATTTATTTATTCTTTTGTCTTTTTAATTAAGAGATAGGGTCTCACTGTGCGTTGCCTAGGATGGCTCTGAACTCCTGGGCCAAAGCAGTCATCCTACCTCAGCCTCCTGAGTAGCTGATGGTATAGCTACTGACCACCAGGCTCAGCTTGAAATTCTTTTGAGTATAAATCATACATGTCATTCCTCACCTATCTTGATCCATAAGCAAGAAAAGTTAATGCATTTTTCCTTTTATTTGTACTAGTTGTTTGTTTGCTTATGTTTTGAGACAAGGTCTCCCTGTACAGTTTAGGCTGACCTTCAACTCACAGAAGTCCTTTTGCCTCAGCCTCCCAAGTGCTGAGATTATAGGCGTGTGCCACCGTGGCCAGGGTTTTTTGTACTAGTTTTAAAAGATCTAAATTATACATTTAAATTTTTCCTACAAATAAAAAATTTAGGTTAATCTCTGAAAAATTATTTTGAAATATTATTAGTGAGTATATGCCTTAAAAGTGTGTGAATCTCATGATTTATATAAATGCAAATCAAAACATATTTTGAAAATCTCATCGATGATGCAGTTGGACAACAGCATGCTTTCTTAACTGAAACAGTCATATAAAATATAACGCTTCTAAGGAGAGCCATCAAAGAGCAACAGAATTTTACTTTGAAAACCTCAATATACTTTACAAAAGATTATTAGGCTGATTTTTATTTCTAAGGATAAATAGTTTAAATTGTGTATCTTCAAACTCTAAATGGCCACTGGAATTCTTACACTGAAGTTGGCAAATCTGAATGACTAAACTGACTATAATAGACATACTTTTTTGATTATTTCTTCGTTTGGGTTTTTATAAGACACTTAACCTTCCTTAGACTATGTCTTCTAATCCAAAAAGAAGATAATAATAATAATTCAGGAGATTATTTGAGTATTTCATTATGTGATATACATGAAATACTAATGTAGCACACCCCCTAGAAAGCAATGCAGTAACCATTATTATTAATGTTATATGAATATATTAATAGATCCTTATTTGAGATATGTCCCAATCCTGTGCTAGAGGAAATAACAAAACATGTATACAGTTTGAGTTGTATAGACTTGGATTTGTAAGGTTTATACTATTTCTGGGTATGTGTCTCTGTTTTGTTTTTTCAGAGTCTTATTCACAAATATAGATTTACAATATCGTGACAAAAATAGAATCCAATCTTTTTTTTTTTTTTTGTCTTTTTCGTTTTTATCGAAAACGACAATTTAGGGATCAAACTCACGACTGCCTGCTTGCAAGGCAGGCGTTTATGCCGCTGAGCTAAATCCCCAGCCCCTAGAATTCAATCTTAATTCACTAAACACATTGCTTCCTTTTATAAATTCAATGAGGTTTTGAAATTTAACTGCTGATTATATTTTGACATATAATACTAGTCAAAACACAATATAGTTTCTTTTAACATTGCTGGTGGCTATGGTATATGTGTAGGTTCAAAATTTATAAATCATTTATAGCTCATATTCTCCATTAACTAGTTTATAATTAATGTCAAAACCTTAGCTCTGTCCAGTTTGACTTTCTATTTTGATATTTTTACTTT